AAAATTTTTACCTGTACGCCATGGCGAGGTACATATGACAAGAAAAGAGATAGGCAGAAAGTTCCAATCTCTTATTTTTAATTTCAAAAAGATTTTTAGAAATTTTTTTTTTTTCTTAACAGCAATCACAACCTTACGTCCTATGAGCTGTTGGGTTGAAACTTCTCCTTACTTCGTATTTTTAGATGGTAACCCAATGGTTAATCCATCCATATTTGATGATTTTTGTTATTAGAATTAATCTAATAGGGCTGACTTTTTATTGGTGCAGCAATGCCGGGCAAGGGCTATTTTAACTTGGAAACTATATTACTATCTATATTTTCAAGTGAAAATCGTTGTCACTGCTGCCTGACAACAGGTTGCTCGAAGTGGGTATCGAACCCGGGACCTCTGAAACAAGTCCCGACGCTCTTAACCGCTTACCTACGGGCGAGCCCTTTAGAAAAAATGGTTACATTATTTAATCAATGTGAAATACATTTGTTTCAATTGGTTACAATTTTATGGACCCGTTTTTACAAAGATTTCACTTTATACAACCTTGATCTGGTTGTTAAAAAATTCCTAACTTTAGTTGTTTTTGGGATATTGGTGGTGGATCTTTTTACCGCAAACATTTAAGTCTCTCTTCTTTGTCTTTGGAATTTAAATTGCAATTTTGAAGAAAAACAAAACATACTACTGAATTGCAAGATATGTAAAAAAATTTGAGGCTTATCCGGAGTAAAACAAACAAATAGAAAATATTAATAATTTCTGCACCAATGGTTGAAAAACTGAAAATATGCTGATCTTGACTCGATTTTGATGACAGAAATCTATGCAAAAGTCTTATTTAGTTTATTTTAAAAATTTAACTCGAAAATTATTTTATTAAAATATTGTTGCGAATCGTATTCTTTCACCTACAACGAAATTGCTTATTCGATACAACAATGTAATCTTTTACAATTAGAATGAAATCCAATATTATGTATGTTTATTAATAATGGATTCAATGGATTATTTATTTCCTTTTATTGATATATAGAGGTACGTAAGTCTAATACGATACTTTGCTTCATATAAACTAAATTCAATAATAAATGAAGACGAGCTGATATTTCCTGTCATTTGATTTTATGAACTGCTATCGCCTCAATGCAATATGAGTGAATTTGCATTTTAATCGTCATATTCGATATTGAACCGTCTCGTACATAATTCAGGATATGTGTGTCAAGGAGTTGCTTGTTCGTAAATATTTTTAATTGTATGTTAACATAATAATTATGCGCATATTGGACATTTAGCTTATTGGTCCTTATCTTTATGACAATGGCATAGTTGCCGGACTTAAATTGGAACATGAATTTTTGTATTTTTGTTTAATTTTTATTTTTATTTTTAATTCTTGTGTTCATTGTTCAATAACAAAAAATGTTTATTTTACTGGTTATTGGTATGAAATTGAATGATGACACACATACATAATGGAAACGTACAGAATAAATAATTTCAACTGCTACTAACTAGCTCACAAAAATGTGCCAAAATCCAACTTAAACATCATTTACGTTTTGTTATAGAATAGCAGCCTCAGAGTCATTGAATGGCTGATCATAGAATCATTGAATTTAATAAAAAATTTCTTACAAAACACTACTAAAATGAGCAGATAAAAATGCTACTTAAAAGATAGTTTTCGACGTTTTCAATGTGCCGCTAACTATGCCTATGATATGAAACCGTAAACTTCATTAATTCTAGTCATTTCTCCTCGAAGATGAACACTTCCGCAGCTGGACTTGGGCGCGAATCGGTGTGTTTTAAAAAGCCCGCATGTTAGGTAGGCTAGAGGTGTGTTTGTTACCTCTATAATATAATATATCTACGGATGAATTGAATTCAGCTGGCGTTTCTGTTAAGTTCAAAGGACTTTGCTTGCATGCGCACCATGTGATGGATACTGTTGTAGATAATTGTTGCATTTCGTTTATTTTTTTTTTTTTGTATCTAGTGTTGATGATACTCATATCATTTATCTTTTGCAACTATTTAAACTTTTGAACTACTACTACTATTTTTTTATTCATATGACTACTTATTCCGCATACCAAAATATGATTCTTCATCATTCATTTACCCAGGCGTCATCATACATTTTCTTGCTGCATATTGATTGCAAGCATTTTCTTTATAATCATCATACACTATAAAAAAGAATGACGTCTTCTATCCATATTGGTATTTTTCACGAATGTGTTGATTCATTAAAGTTTTATGTTGCTTTTATTGCTAGGTTCTCTATTGAATATAATACGTACTTAGATGATACAAGTCTCGCTGTGATTGTTTATTGTTTTTGAATTACTCGCATAATTGATGCTCTTTTGCCAGGCTTGTTTGTAAAGCGACACGAAAATATTGTACTGGAATTGAATATTTTGTAAATATTTTTGTAGCCGAACATTGTCGTAAATTCGCATCTCGCCAAGAAAATTTCAAGAACAATATTTGTAAACGACATACGTTAGGAATTTTTTATTAACATTTTTTGAAAGTAGAGGTAAAAGATAATCCGTGTAACCAGCACCACCTTCAAATTGATGATCTTTTGTGATGTGATGTTATACCAAAATATTATATTTAATGTTTACTTTGATACACACTTATGAGATTGAATATTTAGTTCTGGCAAATAAAATAATTTTGAAACCAAACGCTGTCTGTTGTAAGTCCGCATCTCAAAATGTTTATTATTATTATGAAATATTTTAATCACATTCTATTAATCCTTCGCCATAAAAATAAAAGCGAATATAAAGCGTTATTTTGTTGTAACGTCCGCAAAGTAAAGAGGCCAACCGGTTTGCAGTCTCAACCCTTTTTCAGAATTGATCAAGGGAACATCTTCTTAAGTCAGAGAACACGCACAAAAGGTGAAGCGGAGTGCGCCGAAGAGCGCCGTGCAAAACCATGCGTGAATGATAGCATTTTATGTCTATAGTCTTGTTTTTTTCTGTTTGTATATTCTATATAGACTGTTTTAATTCATTGTATGCAAAACGAAGACTTAGACATACAATTTAGATGAATTTTTATTTTTGATTTTGATAGAACAATAACAGAATTCGTCACTGTTAACAAATTTAGATTAATGGGTATTTCAACACATTAATCTTATGGATTAATGGATATTTCAAGGAAAATACTATTTCAATTTACTATATTTGAAATGAATTTTGGAAAACTGATAAAGTAGAAATCTAAAAGATGTTGAGATGGTAAAAAAACTCATTTAATACTATTTTGTGTATTGGTATAACAACTTTTATTCAAAGCAAACAATTTTTTAACCAACGGCCAACGTGACAATCCAATAATAAATTATTTAAGTACAACATAAGGTTCTCTATTATTCTCGATCACACTAATAAACTATTTTTCTATATTATATTACATCATTTATTCTCGATCTCTATTATTCTCGATCACACTAATAAACTATTTTTCTATATTATATTACATCATTTATATTCATATATCTTACAAATGATCTCATTAGATAGAATCACCGAGTCATTTGCACCTTTCGGGCCCCGCTATTAATTACCTTAAAGTCATGGGCATCTAGAATAACAAACATTGTTCTCCAACCGTCTGTTTCTCCGTTGAAAAGCAAACATTAAAACTATTAATAATTTATTGTGACAAAAGAAACAAATCATTTCACCCTTTCCTAAGATCGCCATCAGTACTGATGCTGTGCGGAAGCGCGGACTCGGGTCTTCTTTTCATTTGCATAACAAACCCGTGATGTTTGCATAAAATTATGCACGAGGACCGATGGCTACCTGGGATGATGGAAAAAATAGTTTATTAGTGTGATCGAGAATAATAGAGAACCTTATGTTGTATTTAAATATTTTATTGTTGGATTGTCATGTTGGCCGTTGGTTAAAAGTTTGTTTGCTTTGGTGTAAAAGTTGTCATACCAATACAGAAAATAGGATTAAATGAGTTTTTTTATCATCTCAATATCTTTTAGATTTCTACTTTATCAGTTCACAATTTCACAGTTACTCAAATTCACAATTTTAAAAATGAACAAACGGAATCAAAATACAAATGCAATGGAGAATGCTTAAATAATTTTATGAGGCTTGATATTATGTCTTTATTTATAGATCTCCAAAGTGGGGCCTATAGACCCCCAGGGGTCAATGAAAGCCTTCAAAAGGTCCACGTCAGCGATAAAACTTTTTGGGGTCCACGAAATGGAAATGGGGATCTGCGGTAGTGGATCAAAGGACATAGATTTAGATTTATCAGATTTACAGAATCTTACAATATTAAGTTAAAATAAGTTCACAATATTTAAAGATAACAAACAAAATCTAAATACAAATACAATAAGATTGCTTAAATAATTTAATGTCTTGATAATATGAGGCTTGATATTATGTCTCCATTTAAAGATTTTTAAAGGTGGGCTTATGGACCCCCAGGGGTCAATGACAAGTTTCAAGGAGTCCATGTCAGCAATAAAAAATTTTGGAGTCCACCAAATGGAAATAGGCATCCGCGGTTGAGGATCACATTTTTACAACATACTATGTTTATAAATATTCAGTATTTACTTATACTATACTATCTATAATTCAGTCATATACAATATTTATAAATGCACCTATGATGTAAAAAAAATTGTGTATTTCTATACATTTATATTAAAAATCGATGTCGGGCAAATAACGGTCTGTGGCAAAACCACACACAAAATAGTTTGGGAATCTATAATTTAGACCATCTTCAAAAGATGAAGTCTTGTATCCATTGGTTCGCAGAATATCTTAAAAAATAGTTTTGATGTTTGTCTTCAAATTGTAAATATGTAAATATTTTCACTATCTATGCTTTATCATTTTGACACTTCTATTAAACAACAAAAATATAATTATTCTTATCTACTCAATCAAAAACCAACATCTGTAAAAAAATTATTTTGTTCACAGGTTTCCAGCTCTTATTACCATCCTAATTCTAGGAGGGTTGCCTGGGTCAGAGAAGCGACTGCATCACATGGACCTCAGCCGAAAGGTAGGATTTTTGACCGTATATGTCTATGCATAATCATATTTGCGAACCCCTTTCCCTTGTGTTTTCTCAACACAGTTTTTTGTGTTTGAGGTCATTAATCAAATTTATGACGGAAGTTTTGGAATCTCATTGTTAAATAACGGTCCGGCGGATATTTGGACAATTCTCACAAACGGATCAAACTGAGATGTGATATGAATAGATATTATGATCTCATATAGTATGTCTAAATATTGTTTATTTAAACTTTAAAGCATTGAATTTAAAAGCAATCGTTTAGAAAAATAATCAATAATTAAACAATATTATATTATAAAATAGACTTAAAATTGGAATAACGATAAATTTCTCGTAAACATAAAATGTCAGGTTTGATAACTGATTGTCGATTACTTTTTATAACAGGATTTCGCGTGTCTTTCAAATTATTGACTCACTACAGAGTATTATAATTATTTTGTAATAACTGTATGAATCGCTTGATCGAGTTCACCACGGTTTTGGGAATATTCATGTATTTCTTATGCAATTTAAAATTTTGATTTTTTATATCTCTTAGCTCAATATATCAATGAGGATAACATGTTCTTAAGGTAGGTGATTTATTACTAGTATTACTTGAATTATTTTATTTGCGCCAAAAGCTCAACGACCATATTTACTATTCTCTATATGATCTAGTTTATTTTTTATATGTCTATTATCCAGCCAACAAATTCTTAAAATGTCCGTTGAAGATTTACTGCCCGTGTCTTAGTACAAAAAACCACTGTCAGTTTTACACATGTGTGCGATTTAAATTTAAAATACAAACCTTCGTACGAAATGCAAATATTACGTGAATGGACTATCCAACGGTCTAAAATAGGTATCAAGGATACACCCATTGACTACCTTCTCAAACGGTTCCCACAACTCTATGCTCCATATAAAGTCCATTGAAATTAGAGCAACGCGGATGGACAATGGTTATCCTTAAAAAGATAAAACGGTAATAAAAAACATATTTGCATTCGCAATCCTTCGTCCAAACGGTCATTTTGGTAACGCAACCCAGAAATTTTCTCAAGACTCGGAGTTTGCAGGTATAAATGAAGAAAATTTTGTATACATCGCGAGTAACCTATTTTAAATTTGCGCTTTCCTGATTTTGCTGCCAAACAAACATTCCTAAATCCCTGGTATCAAAAAACGTTTAAATCTGTCTGATACTTTATGGGTCTTTCATATCCAAATGATAGCAGGTAAAACGGTGACCCGTGGATAGTTCTGGCCGGACCTTATTAATCCCTAAGGACCTACCTTCCCTTCTGCTTCCTATGACCATAGGTCATCTGCGATATAACCTTTTAAGATTTTTTGCTCGTGACCCTTTTGCGCGCGGAGAATCGCCCTATTTCGAATGACCTCACAATGGAAGTTTTGGTCACAAGTGGACCAGGGAGTTTTTTGTAAAATTTTGTCTCTTTTTCGCTCATGTGGGATATTGGGTGTCCGAATTTTTATTGTTATGGCCTATACGAGGATATAAAACATCCAGTCAATTGGTGTCTTACACGTTGAGGACATGGATTTATACATAGAGTTAAAGGGTTTAAGGAAAATAATATTTGAAAAATATATAAGGAAACTACTTTTATTAATAATTTTATTTTTTGTTATTATAATATACCTATATAAAAAATATTTAAATTAATATAGTTGTATATTATTATTATTTTTTTAAAGAAAACCTAAAAATAATTTTATTTACTATTATGAATATTTTGCTATATGGCTATATATTTTTCAAATCTCTAATATACTTAACAAAGTTGTGTGTTACTTATCGTTTGTTTTTCTATATGCACTTAAGTTTTCTATTTTCTATCTATTCTTAGGTGCACGTAAAACTTTGCTTCAACTATTTTTTTTCAAAATTCAAAGCTTTTTTGTATATATTATTATTGTTCTATATTTTTCCGGAATTTCAATTTTTTAGTTCAGTATTTATTATATTTAGCAAAATTTATTAAGGTAGCCATTTAATCTGATACCTTAAAATTTCTATCTAAACTGGTTCAATTGATATATGTTTCTAAAGACCCCGACGTCCGCATCGAACTAGTTTACAGGTATGTTGCTCTTGTTTACCTGTTGAACCTACACGAACAATATGAGTTTTTTTCATTCTGTACCCCAGTTTAAATTTGCCTCTGAGGTCACCGAGGAATGACCCGCGTCGGAACCCGGAAAGGAAGGGGTCAGTATAATATTATATAGATCGCAAAACGGACCTCCTTGTTCTTTGCAATATGATCGGTTTTTTACTAACACGAATATAAGAAAAGTCTGTTAGTTTGTGATATATGCAGTGGCCATTATGGTGTGCTGTGACCAGTAATTATACCTACCTATAACGAATTTTCTGTAACGTATTTTTGGGTATAGTCATGATAAAAAAACTAAGGAATTATTTGAACTTTTTTGTACAAAAATGCAATTGCTCGAAAAATTTAATATTTATTATATTTTTCTTCAAATTTAACTCAAATTCTGAACTATTCTAAGTTTTACTTCTTACTTCTATTTTTAAATTTTTAACTCAAAATTTCAAATTCTATGAAAAATTTCATTTTACCATTTTCACTTTTCCTGCAACGTGCTAAAATTCTTTATTAATCATCATATAATCATCATCTAATATAAATTCTTATGTAATTATCATAATTATCAAAGAATCTTATATATGTATAAATTTACTGTAATTACTGCTAATTTAATATAACGTGAAAGCTCGCTTAATGAACATCAGTATTACAAGAATTTTCCGTGCATGCATAAGATTAATTTTACATATTTCTAACATATGTATTTTAATTTATTACTCTTAACTTAATGATTACTTTCATTTTTTCCATATGCATATTGTTAGAAATACTTTTTAACAATATTAACTACCGGGTATAGATTTCAAATTTAAAACTTGACTTTGTTAAATATGACTGTTGAAATTTATAAATCCTGGTTCATCAAAATTAATAATTAAATAGCTATATTTTTTATAAAATATAATACCTTTTTCAGTTTTATAAATATATTAGCGATTATTTTTCTTATCTTTTATCATGACTGTACTTGTTTCGAAGAAAGATCCATTTTATTTACTATCTATTCATTTCAAACCGTTTTCTTGATCTAGTTCTCCACCATTTTTGAAATTGTCTAAAAGCCATTGGTCGTCTTCTTCAGTCTATTGTTGTAAAACTTTTGTAAACATGAAAGATTGCTTCGTTATTATTTAAAATCATTGTTAAATGATTGCGAGTAACTAGTTTTTCTTAGGTAGCTAAAAGCATTTCATTTTAAAAAGCGCCATATTTTCTGTCCTATTCTAAGTGGGCCAACCTTTTGCACAGAGATGAATTTTGGAAATAAAGGACATAGTTCCATTTAAATAAATGTAAAATTAGATTTAAATAAAGCTCAAAGCTCTATTTTGATTAATATAAGAATACATACATTTTTGAAGATAAGATATAAAGGTATGTGTATTTTGTTCTTGCAAAGGGAGGGTGGTAATAGATGACTATTTTGAATTCCAAGAAAGATGATCAATTGAAAAATTAAAATTTATATAGAATTTGCTTGAATATGCCTCGTATTTGATTATTAGCATTAAAGGTTGACTTAAATTTCTAGGAATTTTTTGACAAATTAGATTCGTACAGGTATGAAGTTCAATACAAAAATAAATTCGCCTCTGACAGGACTTATATAGTAATATTTTATAATTCATATATATATATATATATATATATATATATATATATATATATCTGTGTGTATATGTAACTGAAATTCGTTAGTCTACAAAAGTTTTTTTAATATTTATTTATTTTGATCTAGTTTCTTTTGCACACAATGACTTGAAATAACCGCTCGATTTTTTTTATAAGTGAAACCTTGACATAGGTTCAAATTGAAATGAGTTCAGTTTCAAAAAGAAGTGATTTTTTATCAGAAGAATTAAGTTTTCAAAATTGATATACATGATAAATTTTTATAAAAAATAAATTTTGGAAAAAATTATGATGAATATGATGGCAACTGAATTATCAGTGCAATAATAAGGATTTCATCATGTAAAATCGTATAATTATACAGGAAATGAATCTTTACAGTAAATATCCCATTAGCACTTTTCTTGAAGTGTTATGAATTCGATTTCTTTAAATTATCATTCATAATCATTAATTCTATTGCCTGATTCCGATTTACAACGATGCGGAACACGTGCTGTTATTGTTTGAGCAAACGCGAGTATTACAATTAGAGTAAAATCTGGTCGACATTTACTCAAAAATTAAAAAAGACATTTATTTTATAATAGATTGTTTTCATATCAATTTAAAATCGATGTCATAATAGGATAATTATTATAATAGAGAAGAGCTGGGATCCACCACCAATATCTCAAAAACAAGTAAAACTAAGAGTTTTTTGACAACAATATTGGAAAGTAGAGGAAAAAATATGTATAACTAACTATTATCTCGATTTTTAATATATTTTTAATATAAGCTTGACTTATTAAGTTTATATGTAGCTGGGATAAAAAGGACCACCAGAGCCTTTACCCTGGCAAAGGTATAACCAATGAAAAAATAAGTTAAAAAAGCTATTTTACAAGAGATAAGAAAAATAAATTGTTTTTTTTTTTAACTTTGCTTTTGACGAAATACAAGATCAAGGCTGTATACAGTGTTTATCTCTGTAAAAAATATACTCTTGAAAGTTAATTTTTGTATCGGTTAAATAATGAAGCTATTTTGTCGCCGACCTTTGAAGGGTTAACACGTCTCTTAAATATATTCTTTACATTTATTTTTCTCAATTTCTTTTCTATTTTAATTTTAAAATAAGTCTATTACCTCCTAAAGAACATGCATTTAACTCCATTGAGTTCAACTCACTTGAACCGAAGATTTCTACTATTTCGTAAAATCTCTTTAAAATTT